GCGCACAGCAGCAGCGGGTACTTCAGCAGGCGCTGCACCGGCTTGATGAGCAGGGAGCCCATGTCCAGCAGGGCGGGCCGGCCCCTGCGGAGAGAGCAGCGGCGTTTGGGTAAGGGTAGCTCCTGAAACTCTTAACTCATTTCCCCTCTCCATTTGGATATATAAATTATTTAAATGAAAGCAAGAGCAAAACATGACAGCAGCAAGGCCAAAGGACCCTACTTCTGAAGAAAAATAAAAGACAAACACATCTGCCCGCCCAGAAGGGCTCACAGCGTGATTTTCATCCATCTGTCCACGTTCCACGTGTAGGTTATGGCTATCCACATCTACACACACAATTGGCTTTATCATATCATGGGAAACAATTTCAGAATGGTTTTTCTATGACAGTCAAGAAAAATAAACTTTTCTCCTGATTCTTTTTTGTGAACATTAGTGAAGAAAATAGACTCATGATTTAAAAACCACACAGATGACTTGCAAAGTATGATCAGAAGAAGGCGCTGTCCTCTATCTTCCACCAGCTGGGAGAACTGCACTTACAGTGTTTCAGCGATTCCACCATAGTCCCCTACAGAGATCTGTAGTAAATGCAGATTTTTCTAGTTATTGCTGTCACTATTGCTAATGGCGTCACACAGTGACTTCCACAGGAAATTCCTCACCAGCGGGTCTTGCAGTGACCACAGCAGCGGGAACGCAGCTTAGCTCTGGAGGAAAGAGCCACAAGTGCGGCCAGGCCTTTATCCAGCCACTGCCTCTGACCGTTTACCCAGAGCCTCAACTGTTAAGCTCTGCATGCAAGTAGACAAATACGGGATGCGATGGTAGGAAACACAGACGTGGTGTTCACATCCCAAAAGGTACATTTTTTTATACTTCTGTTTTTCAAGTGTTAGTGTGGGTAGACAACAGACTATGCAATTTGAATAGTAAAAAAGATAACGAGCAGATACAAAACTAGAAAAGTTGCGTCGTTACAAAGGGTTTGAAGACATTTTAGAACCTATTTAAATGACATTTAACAATTGAACTATGGAACTTTATTATGTGTGCATGTACATACACATGCAGAGACACAGGTACATGAACACACACCGCTCACTGTCATACCCCCCCTTTGATTCTCACTGTAGCACTTAGCACTATCTAGAATCACCTTGTTTCCCTAGCTCCAGTATGTGATCAGGCTGTCACTATTCTCATCCCTAAACTTCTGTGCTCTCTCACTGCATAATTGTAGGCTGAGAATGATTGCATTCTTGCATTTTCTGTTTTTCTTTCACAGTGCACTTTGTTTCCAAAAATTTCACAATGGTTAAAGAGGAATTGTATTCATGTGCTGAGAAAATTATAGTGGCATAACAGATACAAAGACTGAAGCAGACTAAAAAGCAACATTTTATAGAGGAAAACCAGAATAAATATTAAAGTTTTGCAAGGCAGTAAAGAGTTGCTTTAGTACGTGCTATTTTATATTTCCTACTCCTTTGTCCCACATCTATTTAGGGAGAGAATAAGGTCAGAAGGTAACAGAATCAGAGGGAGAGAACCAGAGGTGGGAGGAAGAGAAATTGATTATTGGTTTTCAAGAGAATCAAGTGCAGTTGATGGAAAAATGTAAATCGATTATGGATATTGAAAAAATAAAAATGTTTTCTGATGGTGTATCAGTTATAGCATCTTAAAATATGGAGGGCAGTATTTTCCTCTATATCTAAGCAGAGATTTTTCAACACTACAGCAGTTTATGCTCAAGAGAAATAATTCCCTTAAATGAAAAACAAGTCAGGAATATAATCTATATTAACTTGATTAGAGGAAATTATATTGTCTTTATCATTATGGTCAGAATTTCTTTTGATTTTTTTTCTGATTTGTCTTCAAACAATCATTTAATCTTTTAGAAATCACTGAATATAGTATCAAAATATAGTCAGATATTTCAATCAAAGAAAATCCAGTTTTAGTGAAATAGTTTATTAGAATGACCTAATATCACTATGTGTACATCTGGGTGTATATTCACTCAGCGGAAATTCTGCTGGAGTTAGTGGTACACTTACACACATCCTCCTGCTGCCCCCTTTCCTCCTAAAGATGGCTGCACAGCCAGTGCAGACTCTTTATCATTATTATTTCTCTGCCCATACCTACTTCTATTTGTTCTTTTTGTTTCAACTTACAGTGATAAATGATCCCCCCTTTTTTTTTAAGAGCAACAAAGATGCCATCTCTAAAACATCTCTGAAAAATCAGAAATTCCTGGGCCCTTTTGTCTTCACTTTACATGCATGTAGCACAGTTGCCCATGTGATAAGCAGTGATGCTCTCATATGTGCATCAGACAGACACACAATATGGTAGAGGAGATAGAGGTTCAGTTAGAAGATAATGATGCTCCAGGTATTCGGGGTCACGAAGTTCGCCCATCTAATACCACCCAGTAAGATTAAGTTCTGATAATCAGGTGAAGAAGACAAGGCCTATATCAGTTGCCTATATCATTAAGTGTCAGATGTGTAACAAGTCTCACAAATATCTGGCTGAAAACTAAGGTGTTTATTCATTCCTAACTGTATTTCATCGTGTTCTGCCTTATCACCAATTCTTTGGCAAGTATTTTGTGCCATGGTCTCATTACAGATGATAATAGAAAATTTACAAAGTCAAATACACACAGACGGCTTTGTTTAAGCAACATCTAGTTTTGTTGCAAAAACTCCACATCAAATATAAGAAAAATAGGACCTGGAATTTAGCTCAGTGGTTCTGCTGCCTCCCTGGTACCAAAACAAAACAAAAAAATGAGGAAAGTTTTGCACAATGAAAACATAATGACTTTTAAACGGTGTATAATATCTATTTCTTAGAGACAGAAAAGGAAAAATAATCATGTAACTATCGACCACATTACTTGAATTTCTTCCTTATGACCACAAATATCCTAAATTTAGTATTTATTTTATAGTAGCCACAGACATCTGCACTATTACTGATTTTTTAAAAATTTTATTTCCTTAAAAATTTGATTGTTTTAAAGGAAATTATTGGTCTCAAATAACAAATACTGTTTCTCATAATTAAATAGTAACTGAAAGTATGGAATTTGTTAATAACAAATTTTAGAAGATGAATAAATGAGAGCAGGAGATAACAGAGTAGCCAGCACTAGTAGCATGGACAAGGTGATATTTCAGCTGTCAAAGGAAGAGGAAAAGGTCACAGTAAGAATGACCAGTTGAAAACCTGTTTAAGAAACTACCTAATTCTTAGGGTGTTATAGAAATGAAGAAAATCCTTTGCAGGATTGAGAAAGAAATCTTGGAGGCCAGGGATTTAGGTCAGTGGTCTGGCATCTACCTTGTAAGCGCAAGGGCCCAAGTTCGATCCCCGGTACCAAAAAAAAGAAATCTTGGAAATTGAAAAGACCCTCACAAGTGTCAGAGAAAATGTTCAGGAACTTTCCAGAGAGAAGAGTGCAAATACGAAGGGATGGAAAATAAAAGAGTAACCTAAAGAAAGTAGAGAAGTGGACTAGAAAGTCAATGTTTAACAATAGGATTTCCAGAACAAGAGAACTGGACAAATGGGAGGAAATTATCAGTGAAATAATTTAAGAAAAGTACACAAGTGAGCAAGTTAATAGAACCCACTAAATGTCCAGAAAAAAGGGGGAGTAGAGTCACACTTTACAATTCATGGCCCTGAGGGTACTGGGGACAATGAGAGGACCTACTGTTTTTCTGAGAAACAGACACCAACAAAGGCTTAGGGGTGAGAATGGACTTCAGATTGTGCATAACAACGAAAGCTAGAAAATAATTACCTTTAAATTCTGATGATGAGTGATTTTTCAATGTAGAACTCTATTCTACTCAAACTTCTAATTAAGTGTGAGGGTAAAATAAAGATATTTTGGATAGAAAAGTTCTTTAAAATGTACTTCCAGTGCATCCTTGGGGGATGGAGGAAACTATTTGGAGGACGTAAGTCCATCAAAACAAAAGGGAACGGGTGTAGGAGAGGATAAAGAATTTCTAAGAGGTGGGAGAGGCACTCCTAGAAGAGTATATCTGGTGTCACTACAGTGACCTTCAGGGAGATGAAATTGGCAGCAGACATAAAGCATCGGTTGTTTGGAAGATGATTAAATTAACTGACTGTAACTTTGTACCAGTGACTAGTGCAAAGAAACTAAGAATGAAGAGGAAGAAGCTGAAGAGTACAGTCAGCATTTATTAACTCCCAAGAGATCAAGTAGTCCATTCACTCCAGGGCTCAGCCGAAATTTACCCAGATACAATGTAGTAATTCATTCATGGACTGTTGCATAGCCAAATTATAATGTAATACAGATAGAGACATTGGAATGGTGGGAAGAAAATGTATTTGTGGGGTTCAGGCTCGAGATTGATAGGAGTTAGAAATTCTTATCTGCCACAGGGGAAAACGAATAGACAATATCTAGAAAGAAAAAGAGTCAAGTGGGTTTTTAAAGTATGGAGAAAAATGCCCAAATAATGAACTAAAAGACATTAAAATGATGTGTTTTTTTTTTTTTTTTTTTTGGTACTGGGGATCGAATTTAGGACCTTGCACTTGAGGGGCAGGCACAGTGCCACTGAGCCAAATCCCCAACCCCCAAAGTAATGTGTTCTGGTGAGGAGTATTTGGGGAAGTTCAGAGAACAGGTTACCATTTTTCTAACAAATATCATAGAATTACTTCTTAAAGTTAGGGTGTTATGGTTTATGTCTAGATATCCCCCCAAAACCTCATTCAGTCATAGGTGGGGCTTTTCAGAGGTGGCTGGATCTAGGGTGTGTGATGCTGGGATTAAGGGTGTATGATTACTAATTTAGTCCACTGATTGATTTGGCATAGTTCTGGGTAGGATTAAGGATGTCTCACCCTGGGTGTGAATGCTATCTATCCTAAGGGTAGGTAGACTGAATAAAATATATAAGGGACAGAAAGAGGTTTAATATTGTCCCTTGCTGCTTGATGCTTTTGCGTCTTTTGCCTGCCATGAACTGTTTTTCCTTTGTGGTGCCCCTCTGCCTTGGAGCTGGCCAACTGTGAACTGAAATCTCTACCAGCTGAGCTGTAATAAATTTTGGGTGTCAGGCAGTTTGTTTCAGCAATGAAAAATACAAGATGAGAATATATAATTTTTTCAAAAAAGTCTTTAAAAAGAAAACCCGAAAGAATTCTTAGGAAAAGTCAGAAGAAGTAAAGTGCTGAGCTGAGATTAGTCATACCTAATATTAAAATGTATTTTTAAATTATAAAAATGAAAGTAATTCTAGTAATTACACATGGATGAATGAGTAGCAAAAATGGAAAATCAAGAAATAGGCACGAGCAGTGTGGAAACAGTACATGTTCAATATGGCATTCCTATTCAGTGGGAAAATTATCCTTCAGTATCAGTATCAAGTGTGGTGACAGCTAGCCAGATTGAAAAAGATGGATTCCTGCATCATGTACACCAGAATAATTTCTAGGACAAACATTTAATTGTTAAAAGTGAAGCCCTAGGAGGCTGGGGTATAGTTCAGTGACAGACAGGTGCTTGACATGCAGGAGGCTCTATGTGCAGTTCCCCACAGATACAGCGGGGAGGAAGGAGGGGAGAAAGGGAGGTGAGAGAGGACAAAAGAGGAAGGAGGAAGGGAGAGAGGGAAGGAGGAGAAAAGCAGAAGAAACAAAAGCCATACAAGAACTCGAAGAAAATACGAATTACATTTTAAATCCTAATTGTAGAGTGGCTAACCAAAACAAAATCAAAAAGCCATAAATCTATTTAAAAACTTACCTCTTTAACATAGTACAGATGATAACAAAAGGAGAAGCGGACTTAAACTAGGCTGAAAGTAAACTAATGAGTTGAAAAACTTATTTGTGGTACTTAAGACGGATGAGTTAGTGTTTGCTAATCAAAGCCATTATTGATCTATTAGAAAAAGATGAGCATCGATAAAAGTGAACAGTCACTTTAAAAGGTCATTCATTAGCAATGAATTACAGTTAAATACTCATTAAAATGCTCCAGATGATTAGTAAAGCAAATTAAAACAACAGCCTGCTATGTTGCAACATCGTAAAGGTACAAATATTAAGTGCATCCAGGGTTGGCAGGTAGTAGATAAATGGGTAGCTCCTCTATGAATAATGAGAATATAAATTAGCTCAGCATGTCTGAAATTTTCTAAAAAAGTATTCAAAATCCCTTTGATCTGGCAATCTTTCCAAAGAAAATAATGATTATTGTTTAAGAAAATGTACACAAATGTGTACACAGCATCAATGTTTGCAAGACAGATGCAATTCAACTGTTTGGTAAAATGCAAAAGTTTGGTAAAATGAATTAAGGCACATATCAGAATGTTATACAGTTATAAAACTGTGTGGATTTACATTTACTGACATGGAAAGATACCCATGATAAGCTGGTGGGCAAGATAGCAAATGCCCACCAGTAGATAAATGTGTGTGTCTGTGTGTATGAATGAACAGCTCTCTGTGACACAAGAGACATTACACTGTACAGTGTGACAGTGTTTATCACTGGGGCATGACTACCGATCACCTTCACTGTCCTCATTTTTCTTTATCTTGCAGTGTTTCTTTGATAATATTAAAAATACAAGGAGGAGAGAAAGTAAACTAAATCACTTTGAAATTAATAGGGACTGGGAACTCAAGGGTGAAAATAGCTGGCCAGACAGGGCATATACAAGGAAAAGAATGAAAACCACAATACAACAAAACACTGAATTTCTGGAAGTGTTTAGATGTAGAACAATCATTTTTCTTCCTGTAGAATGTGGGAGCTGCATGGAGGCTTTCTAGGGGACCCCTCAGAATGGGATTCTAGGATTCTTGTAATTTTAATGCTGTTCTCTTTTGTGTTTGCATAAGATTATAATTCAAAGTAAAAATCTTGGAAATTACAAATATCATTGATGCTATCTTTTAAAAATAATGTGGGAAAAAGTGAATACTTTTCACTTGCTGTAAGCAAGGGCAGTTTTGGCATCAGCTAAAGGCTGCATCTCTTTTTTCTTTCTTTTCTTTTTTTTAATTTAATTTATTGGTACATTCTAGGTAGACAGTACAGTTAACATTCATTACTGGGATCTTGTACCTTTACATGCCAGGTCTTGCTTCTCATTTTTAAGGCTGCATCTCTTAACTGCACTCCTGGCCCTGACCCACTGGCCTTGCCTCAGCAGCCTGTGATCACACCACTCATCAGCCTTCTGCCCTTTCTGTGTCAGCAACAGTGCCTGGGGACCCAGGAAAGGAGCTCGAGGTCCTCTGGATTCTGATGCGCAGCCAGCTGCATGCTGAGATCGCCCTTCCTCTCTTTAGCTCTTCGTGTGTAGGTAGAACAGGTGAGGGGACAGCTCCCGCCCGGACAGTGTAACCCCCTGTGCTTCAACAGTTGCAGAGCACTTCGCTTTCCTGCTTGGAGTAACTGTCTCCCTCCTCACTATTTCATCTTTTGATTATAAAGACCTTCCTTAGCCCAGGACAAGAAACCTAAGTAGAAAATATGGACATGAGGTTCTTCTCTAGCACCCAGCAGTGTGAAGCTCTGGTCCTCTGCATGATTCCGGGGATACGGGCTTTATAATGAGCGCCCATCTCACCCACTGCAATTAAGAGAAAACGGGGCTCGGATGGATAAAGGGACCAACCAGTAGACTCTCACACTGCAAATTCAAGCCATCTCAGAATTGGAAACTGGGACTACAAAACTGATTTAGTCGTATCTGATTGTCCTGTAGAGTATTTTTTCTTTCTTAAAAAAAAAAAAAAAAGCAAGACTCATAGTGGGCACCCATTGGACTTCTCAAAATCAGCTCTCAGTTTGGCTGAGGTGTAGCCTCTGGGTTTCTGGATGGTGCCCAAATCCTTCCTTTCAGCTTGGAATCCTGTCTTTCCTCACAGTTGCTGTGCACGAAAGTATAAATGCCAGATATTTATGGCTTTCATTGATGTAATTTCTATTTTGTAAATTTTCTGTTCCTCATATCAACTCCTGGGAGTTTAACACACACACACACACACACACACACACACACACACACACACACGCGCGCAAGAACTCGGGACCTTCAAGAGTTGTTGAACATGTTGAGCCAAATGTACCTTGTAAGGTCCTGGTAAATTTGAGTTTATATTTAAGTCAGTATCACTCTTTCAGTATTAAACAGGCTAGATGTGTTGCTTTTAGAAAACAGGACATCCTCCAGAGTGTGTATATATGTTTTTATAAAATAACTTGTTACTAGCCACCTATTTCATCATCATATGTCATTTCTATGCCATACGTATAAATGACTTTTTCTGCACAGATCATACGAGTCTAAAATAGATGAAATCCACTAGTTGCTATAACGCACGAAGAAGCTTTTCTTTATTAGTCTTCAAACACTCAAAAATGATGGCATTAGTATGAGATTTTTAAAAGATAGGTCAGTTTTAGGAAGAATTGTTCTGGACACACAGATTCCTAAAGATATCTATGATCAGCTGCTGTGAGTTACTTAAATTATACATTAGGGTTCTAAAATGTTTAATAAGGTATATGTGATAATTTGATATATAAGAGCATTTCAGACAGACTGGAATAAAGTGTGAAATCAGAGGTATCAAAAATAGATAAATGCATATGCATGCCTTATGTATTAAAAGAAATACACTTAATTACAACTAAAACTTCTGATTTGAACAGGTATATTAAGTAGCTTTTCCTCCATGATTTTTATATTTTTTCTATCATTTTTAGAAAGCATTTAGCATAAGCATTGCTTGTGATAAGTCTGATTTAATCAATATACAATTAATACATGTATAAAAACATCAGATTTATCCCCAAAATATGTACAAAGGGTCAAGTAAAAAAAAAATACTTACTCTTGCATGTATATTTTCCTGTAAGAGAGGGGAAAAAGTAAATTTATGTAAATCCATGTATTTGAGGTAATGTATAAACATAAGTCTTTCAGATTTAATTATTGCAAAATAAAGTAATAAGTAATTCTCACGACAGCTCCATGGAATTGTCTCATGGCTTTATAATCATGTCTCTAAAGTCTTAGTATATCTATCATCTTTGCTTCACACTTTGTATAAAATTTAAAACCGTTTACTCAAATTATAGTCAGTAAATTTTGATAATTTGAAAATGAATTGAAACTTACATTTTTGTTTATATTATGAAAAAAATCAGACATAGTAGTGAAAGGAATCAATGTCACAAGAACCCAGCATGGTGGTGTACATCTGCAATCCCAGGACTCTAGGAGGCTGAGGCAGGAGGCTCACAAGTTTCATCCCAGCCTGGGCTATTTACTGACTAGTGTGACCCTGTCTCAAAATAAAAAATAAAATGCTGGGAATGTAGCTTAGTGCAGAGGCCCTGGGTTTGATCCACAGTATGTACTGATAAAGAGTTATAAGAATACAAAGCAAATGTTTTCTGAGGGCTGTCTAGTTGAATGCAGATTGTGAGAACAGTTTCCCTGTTGAATGAGTAAAAAAGCCCTCAGGAGGCATCACTAACTTGTTTTGCATACTCTACCTCCTGTTCTGTCTCCTCTCGCCCGTTTGCTAATGGGCACCTCTTTCCTCAGTTTCCGGCCTCCTGCTCTGTCCCCTCCCAGCAGCCTCTCTTTCTGGGCCGGTTTACCCCCCCTCCAGGACTCACCTCTGTCCCCATCCCTTCATCTCTTGCAGGATTCTGCTCCAATGTCCTTTCCGGTGAAACCTTCCCTGACCAACCTTTGAAATGTTCACCCTCTCTCACACTGGATTCGCATCCCAGTCTCTCTCTTTATTTCTTTCCATACATAAGACTTGCTACTCGTCATGCACGATGTGTCTTTCGTACGTAGTTAGTTATCTAACCCTCAACCCCAGGAAAGAATGTACGCTGGATTCACTCACTGCTGACCCCAGTACCTAAAAAACGACACTTGGTAGGAGCTAAAAAACATTGCCAAGTTAATTACTCAACAGTAAAAATGTGGAATTTATTCAGGTTAGATTTAAGGAATAAAGGAGATGGAAGTTTTTTTCTAAAAGCCTCACGTGAGTATCAAGAAATAACAAGCAGTGTATAAAACCTGTTCCGTGTGGCCTTGTTTTCAGTCTTTTGGAATACAGTGAGTGTTTCCATATCAAAAAACTTTATGACTGCAATCCATAATGGGAGATGGTGTTTTTATGTTCAGTGATATATAAATTAGTGATAAATACCTATGCTCAATTTCATGAAATTTAAAATGGATTTAATAAGCTTACAAAATAATCCCAGTACTCCATATACATAAGAATCAAAGGTATCCATGTGTGAAAGCATTGCTTCCTTGCCCTTCAGTATGTATGTTCATATGAGTGGACCCCTGGGCATTTTGGAATAACCGGGTCCTCCTGCTTCCTGGACCTCCTAGATGTGGGAGTCAAGCCCAGAATGATTTCTTTACAGTCAAAAGCTGCCAGAGTTTTAGAGAATTATTAAATGGCTTAAAGAATTTTCTGCTATAAGAAAATAAATTTCCCTCCCATTATTCCCTGCCAATATTTCCTTCTGCTCATTTCCTTTAGGCACAGCACTCTTCCCCTAATTTTTACTCTCTTCTAATGGAGAATTTCATTTGTCTAAAGTGCTTTGTGAATTACAGATCTGAAAATTTCAAGAATTTGAGTCTTTAAATAATACAGTTTTCCATGGAAACAAGCAAGTAAACAATTTGAACATTTAGGAACCAAAATACATACTTTGATGTTGAAAGAAAATATTTTTCTTTTAACTCCTGGAAAAGACATGGGATTTATTTTCTTTATTTCATTTATTTCCACCATTTAGCCTAATCACTGTAACACCAATCAAACATTGTGTTCGTATGGTATAATGTTTTATAAAAGGGACCTAAGTTTTCAGTAGAGGAACCCACAATATGTAGGGAAGGTGAATTGCTTTAAAACATCAATTTTTTATTTGTTTGTCATTTTTAAAAAATATCTCTTTTAAACTAAAAACTTTCCAAAAGCTAGTTCCACCCAAGGAAAATTCAGGAAAGAGAAAATTAAAATGTGTCCATTTACCCTTTTATGGGATAAAGTAATTTAATACACCTATCACTGTGCCTTCTCCCCAATGGGCTCATTAAAATTTCACTCACAATTGAAAGTTTTTATATGACTCTTTCTTAAAGGTTATACAGTCTTTGTTCAAACATGATGCCATATAACAAGGATCTGAGAGAATTTCCAAAGGCAACTTTAACTTTTTCTTTGGAACACACCATTTGGAAAACTAAGCATACAGTGTGGTGAATGGATTGAAATGTATTCCTTTGGATCCTGTGTTGCATGAGCTTCTAGAGTCTAAGAATGGAAAAGCTACAGGGGAAAAGTGCCCAAGTGACTAGAAATTAATGTTTTTCTCCTGGGAGCTGAGGAGGCCTTGGTTAGCAGGAACATAAATACAGACGAATTTATAACAGTGGGGCAGGAAAATAGCAATATATCTTCCATCTGCCCTAAAATTTAGAGGGGTTGTTTCATTCTTTCCCTCTGCACTATAAACAGATCTGTGGGGCCTCTGAGATGTAGCAGGGACTTCAGCACTATTTATAACTAGAAAAACAGAAAAAGGCTGCAGCAGACACACACTATTCTAATTATAGCTCTGCCTGCATTAATAGTCATTATGTTTTCCCTTTCTTCTAACAGCTAGACACCTTAAATAATCCCAGAAACTTCTATATTTTTAGTTTGTGCTGATAGATTATTGCACATGAACTTAGCATGAGTACCAGCTGTGACCACTGCTCATCAAATAAACAAAAACTTGCAAGTTTCCTACTTGCAGGCTGCAGATGTAGATGTGCACAGTACTTCTGGACAGCGCAGTCTTCTCTTTCCAAAGGTCTCTAAACTTTCAAATTACAGTGTAGATTGAATTGATGTAAAAAGCCCATCTCTGTCAAAGAAGATGGCCAGTGAGCACGGCTGGCCCTTTCTCTCCAGTAGTTCTCAGGTGTGTCCTGGAACCCCTGTGGGCTGGGCAAGGTAGACCACAAGCGATGCTATTGTTGAGGGGGTGGCAGGGAGTTTGGGGAAAGATGCAGGGAATTCTTTGTTTTTAAAATTTTTTTCTGGTACCAGGATCAAACTCAGGACCTTGTGCTTGTGAGGCAGGTGCAGTGCCACTGATAAAGGGAATTCATTTTCACTCCACATCCCTGTGGATTGGTGCAAGGGACGTATGCACCAGAAACACTGCCCTCACATGGCAGAAAGATTCTAAATTACTTTCTGGATACAAATCCTGTTTTCTCATTTCAATGATAATGGGCTTCAAAGAATAACCAAAGGTCGGAGCTTAGAATCAGTTACAGAACCAGTATCTCTGCAGCTCTTTTGGAAATCAGTCTTGAGCCTCAGCCCCTGGTGCAGTACTTAAATTAACTCTTGCATTGTTACTACACTCTTCTGATGGGCTTATTTATCTCCCCAACTAGAGTTTTTGTTCCTGGGAGGCATGTAATATATATATATTATCTTGAGGTCTTAATAAATATTTATTAGGCCCCCATAAGCATATTTTAATTTTGGCTAAGATGCGACCTAAGGGCTTTAAAACATACTTTAGCTTCCAGGGCATGAAGCCACCTCTGTCGTTGATACTGCTTCAAACTAAGTTTTCCTCTGCATGGACTAAGCTGAGTCTGCACCTAATTCTCATTAACAATGGCACCTGTGCTTGGGCTGGTGTTTAAGCCACCAGGAAAAGGCAGTGACAGTAATAGCTTTGACTGATTGCTTAGCAAGGCAACAGAGCCCTCGGGTGTTGCAGACTTTCTCCGGCCTATAAACCTGTTTGAAAACCTGTTTCTCGGAATTTAAGGCTCAGCTCAATTGAGGTCAGTATTACAGTCATGTCAATAATTCCAGAACTCTCACCCCTCCGGCAGACCAGCACAATTCATCATTAACTTTATTTCCATGGAAAGGCAACTTTTGGGAAAATAGCTGTAACCTAAACTATTTTATTTTGATTTTCTTTCCCCTAAGAAATAGTTCTGCCAATACTGCTGCATTGGATTTTGTGGTTCTAAGTCTTAACCCTTCCCAGTGGCTACCTTTATTTTCAAAACTCAGAACAGCTCTGAATACACAAAATCTGGGGCATCATAAGGCAGTGCTTTCAGAAAAGAACTCCAGTATACCATTGGGTCAGAAAGTAATTTTCAATAACTGATACCTGACGAGGTTTCAAAATTACCCTTTAAGGGTGATGAGACCGAGCTAGACTGCCTGGGGTGTGCCAGCGGCATTTGTCTTTTTCCCTTGGGAGGGTGTCAAAGCGGAAGGAATCATAACCAGTACCCTCCTCTGAAGGTCACCTCCACTTCCGGTGAACAGTTAGGAGCTCCTGTCCTGAGTACATTAACCTCATCTGCTCAGCTGAGGACCCTTCGTCCCTGGCTTGGATTTGTGCTGATGACCTGGGAAGCTAGATTTTCATTTGCTGCATTTATTTCTGCTGATCCTAGAAACTGAAGAAAGAAAATGACTCACGCTAGACATTATTGGATTGATGTTGCTACTTGTTTCAGGTGGGAGAGGCATTGATCCCTGTCTAGGACACTGATATTTTTTCCCAAGGAAAAGAGTAGCTGTACATTTAGAGGACTTTTATCCTTGTATGTGGATGTATTAAGATGAGTCCACCTTCAGCTTGGAGCTGACATGGCAGCACCACACTAAACTGAACGGCAGTGAGAGGTAATGGACTGGAGCTGGTCATGACATTTTATGTTTAAGAGTTAACTGATGATCACACTGTGGGCTGAGTATAAAATCTAACTTGTTTTTGTTTTTTCTTAGTACCCAGGCCTATGCTTGCCACAGCACAAACACTAAATGCTCCCAATTTAGTGCCTTGAATTTATTATTCTCCCTGATGTGAAAAACAGGATTAGAAAGCTGCAATTTGTTCACGGCCAGTAGAGGGCAACCAAGTTGAAATTACACTCATTCATTCCTTCTGTGCCTTTCTGGGTGCCACTGTAAACCCTTCTCCAGAGCTAATCCAGTCTGGAAAGGTGTCCTCCAGAACAGCCTCACTGATGCTCCGGACTGCACTTCAGTGGGTCCCTCTTCCCTCTCCCGACCCCACATAGTAGGAGGTCCAAGGGAGGTGTTTGGGACAGTCAGACTGGTGTTCACCGATTTACACAACACGCTGTCTGTGTCACTGTGCCTGGCTGTAGAGAGCCTCAGTCAGATGCCGAGCTGGAGGGCCCTGGTAGCTCTCAGAGTCTTGAGGCCAGAAACAGTGCACCAGTGAGACACCCACGTCCTCTTAAAGCCTCACTCCGCACAGGCTATTGTACATCCATTGAAAAGCAACATGTGGAAGTGAAAACTCTGAGTAGTAATTGGTGGTGAAAGAACAAGGTTTACAAAATCTTACTCATACTTTCTTCTGTTCTGGGTTTTTAAAAAAATAGTGAATAGCTGTTCCTTCTAAAAATGTGTCCTGACACTGCCTGCTGCACGGCGGACTCATGTTCACCAGTGTCCACTCAGCCCCACGAGGAACCTGAGGGAAGAGGAGAGCCATTTGGGGTCCACCAGACACCCTGGAACCCCATTGGCCCCATGCTCCTGGGACCATGGGGCCACTTGTTGCCCAGGGTATCCCTGGAACCAGGTGGAGCTGGCTTTCCTCCTAGATTTTATTACTGCCTTGATATTGCACCTTTCTATTACTACCAAGCCCTGAATCTCCTCCCACATTATAGTCAACCTTTCAGGAAAGAAGAAACCAGACGCAGGCTTCCGGCAGGCCCAGGATTTCACACCAGACCTTTCCTTGCCATCCATTTAAGATGTCCCCTGCCAGGCCCTGCGTGGGAATGTCGCTTGTCACAGCCTCACTTACTTCAGAGACTGGAGACAGGGGCCCCAGTGTTGCTTCAGCTCCTCCTCCTTCTCATAGGACTCCAGCAAGCTTTGTGCTTCGTCGTGCTGATAGCAGTAGATTTTATAAATGTCTTCCAGTGGCCCTTTAATCTGCAAGAACACCTCTCCTGAAAAATACAAAATGGAGGCAGATGGCATCAAGTCAGACCGAACCAGCACTTCAGAAGTTTATCATTCGACAGTGCTGATTACTACAGAAACGTTGGATAGGCCCCACTTTATCCTCCCATAATTCAAAAGGTGCGTTAAACACAGAGAAATTTGTTTGTCTTTTCTTTCTTTCCTCTTCTCTTTCCTTCTTTCCTTCCTCCCTGTCTTCTCTCCCTTCCCCCTGCTTTCCTTCCACTTATAAAACAAAGCATGAAGAGCCTGACAGAGGAAGGCATTAAGGAAGCGCGGTTCTCCCGAGGTGACTGTACCCGCCTGGTGGGTGGGCTGGCAGCTCTTATGTGTGGTTAGAGCGGATCCGTCTAAGTGGCCTAGATAGGGTTGGATTGGGCAGCATCACACAAAGCCAGGTAGTGTAACTCTGAATCTTCCTCGTCTCTTCCTTATAAAGTTGCCATAATTAGATTCAGTTTCATAGGATTGTTATAAAATGAGGGGTACCGTGCATAAAGTCCAGTGTGTAGTACCTATACACTCGGGTACTAAGATGGGACTGTTTCTGTTAATTTACTAGAAGTAAAAGAGAAATTTTAGGCACTAGGTAAATGATTTTTCAATATTTATTTCACTGACATTTCCTGAGTTCTCTGAAAGGCAAGCAGTAGAGCAATAGAATATTTCCTTATATGTGACAATACAAAGAAGCCATCACTTAACTCCTTATACAAATTAATTGGGGGCTGGAGGTTTAGCTCAGTGGTGCCACTGCCTGCCTTGCAAGCACAAGGACCCAAGTTCAATCCCCAGTACAAGGCAAACAAACAAACAAAAAATACCAAACTGATTGGATAATACTGTGAACCAAGATTGTGAATGTATTTGCATGAAGCAACTTGAGCTAATTGTACCCAGGCATTTAATGAATCCTCTGATACTGTGGCAAATCGAGTGTATACATGGTGGATCAGGCAGCTGTTGGAGGACAGCTCGATGTAGTTAGCACTGCATCACTTAAAACTGAGTGGCCAGTATCTGCCACCACCCAGCATGTGCCAGGTGACTTGGGAGGCACCACAGAGAGACGTAGCAGGACCTGCCCTTAGATACACTGGAAATTTAAAATTATGGTTAGATTTGGACATGATGTGAAGGGGTGCGTGTGTGTGTGTGTGTGTGTGTGTGTGTGTATGTTCTTTTGAGACTGTTTGCTTTAATAGCATGTCAGGAAATCCAGGGACTGTGGGCATTTTTGGAGCTGTATGGATGTAGCATTCTTGTTTTGTTTCCGAGATTTTACTGAGTGGATCCTCCCAGCATTATAGGACTTGTAGATATGCTCTATAAGACAATAGCACAAATAATAATAGTTGACACAGAGAGAAAATAAAAGAGGACAGCAACTGAATGTAAGGTTGGGCATAAGGTAGAGAGAAGCCCCAGTAGCAGAACTAGGCAGTAAAAGGAGGAAACCCAGAAGTAGGAGCAAGGGACAGGTTAAGCTACAGCTCCCTGCAAGCTGAAAGCAGAGGGTGTGAGTCCACACATCCACACAGAGTGAAAGGTAAAGTGTACATGTTCAGTGCTGAGAAAGTAGGACTAGAGACTGAGAGGCAAAGACAGCCTCAGAAATCCACTACAGGATCTAAACAGGAAGACAAAAAACAAAGACGAAGACTCTTATTTTATGCACAATTGAATCCTTAATTGCGAATGCCCTTATATGTTCTTTAACAGAAGTGCTCTGGTCTGAAAGAATTTAAATCTTTCCCCTTAATGGCGAATGGATTTTTTTTTTTAACTCTATTCCAAGTACAATTCTGTTGGGGCTCTAATAATAATTATTAAAAGACATTTAAATACTCCAGTTGAAAGTCATTTATCCACGCAAAGGCTAAGTGTAACTCTGGTGGGCAGGACATTTGATTCTCCTCCCAACGAATTCTGCTTTCTAATGGTGCGTGCAAAGCCAGGCATCTTGAGCAGAAAGTGATTCTGTTTCCATGGCAACGTGAGCCTCCCTCCGGGCTTCTTCAGTGGTGAAGGACATCGCTCTGTCTAAAGTACTCAGGTCTGAAGGGATGATTAGTAGGGAGAAGAGACTGAGCCAAGGCCAGCGAAGTAATTTCTCCTGGAAGCCATCACGGAGGAACTAGAATCCTATAAGATAAATAAAACTACTGTGTTCTTTTTCAAGATCCAACAGCACACAAATGTGTGCATGACTTTCCCCAGAAGCAATTGCCATGTGATTTCTTCTTTTAAATTTCCTTGGTTATTGCTTTTGAAAACAACTCCCACAGATACTGAACATTTTCTATGTCCCGGTGTGATTATTCACACTGCAGATCTTTTCCTTCACTGAGACAGTCACATTCTCCTTCTAGATACAGGTCTTTGATTCCAGGCCCTCGTGTCTCTCCCCATGATGTTCCAGACCAGCCGTGCGGCCTCTATTATTCTGAACCTGCTCTGAGATGAGTTTCCTCTAAGGGGAACAAAGCAGGGGAAAGCCAGTGACATTCAGGGGAGTCCCTCATCCTAGGCATGCTTGGGAAGTGGTGAAGGGAAATGAAGTAGTTATGTTTATTTGTATTTGCCAATTTACTGGATGACTGTTAGGCACCAAGCTATTGGAGCTGTTTTGATAAAAACCTGGACTTGTAATAGAAGCCCTGAGTGTCAAAGCCAGGAGCTGATGGAGTGGTAGGTGGGGACCAAACCTCAGAGTGACGCAGCCAGGTGGCTCAGGCCTACGAGGACCCTCAGGAGGAGGCTGGTGAGGCGGCAACCCTGGAGCAGCATGTTTACCACTAAGGAGCTGGAGCCTGCATCTGGGGGTGATGCCCAGGCTCCATGGGTTTAGGCAGCCAAGCAACCCGACAGCTGTCTTAGAAAGATGACTGTGGGTACAAGTCACCTGAGAGATGGCATTGCCAGGAGGCAGTGAGGCTGCAGAAGAGCACACAGTGAAGTGAGGATTTTCTGTGATAGTGAAGGAAACTGTGAGCTCAAAGAGGAAGTAACCGCAGTGAGGAGTGCTTGCTGGGTGGGGGTGGCTTCCTGGTGAGGTGTGTGCTTAGCATACGCAAGGCCCTAGGCTTGATCCCCAACACCATAAAAAGAGTGCTCAGTCATCTCCTGGCTTCAGTTCAAATCCTGGTTTTACTATTCAACACATGCCATTTGGGAAGGATATTTGGCTTTTCAGTTCCTTAATTTCCCCTTCTCCAAGATGCCAGTCATGATGATGGTGGTGGTGATGTTATTTGGGTTGAAAGGAGTTAAGCTATGTCATGTGTTTATGTTGGTAGGTGGCATGTGCTCCATAGAAGTCAGCAACTAAAGCAGAGTCAGGGAGGATGGGAGGAAAGGGACAGTGAGTGGACACCGTGAGAGTTGGGAGGGAAACTCCAGGGGTTATCATCACAGTGGCTGGTTTCAAGGACCTCATGGCTGGACAGAGGCGGTGCAATAAGGAGACAGTTCAGGTGGAAAAAGCATGACTTTAACTCCAGGTGTAGGGTTTGAGCTCCTTATTAGTTCAGGTGGGAAAATTCTGTGTGGAACTGGGTACATGAATCTGGGATTCCAATTTTTACACAGTAGACAAGCAAACGTCTCATTACGCCGGTAATGCTTTGATTTTAAGTCTCTGTCTATCGCAGCTGAACATAATTCTAATCAACACATTGACTTTTTTCTGCTTCAGTAGAAAAACATTTTGGGAAAAACCTTGACTAGTTAAAGGCCTTCCTCTTTACTACTCCAAAATTCTGTAAAAATATGACATGAATTCGTACATAGGAAGGACCTAAAGGAGATATTACATGTATTAATGCCAAAATATAACAACTCCAACTTTCAAAGCCAACTAAGATGTTAAATTTTTTTGGTTAAAATTATAGGTCAGTGAAACTTGTCACCTCAGAGTATTCGGAATTCAGGGAAGGAGTGGATTGGCCACACTCCAAAAAGAAGACTGGGAAATGGGGATTTAGCTCAGTGGTTCCGGTGCCTGCCTCACAAGTGCAAGGACCCAAGTTCAATCCCGAGTACCAAAAAAAAAAAAAGATGATTGGAGCCCTGGGTGCAGTGATACAGGCCACTGGCTGTCATCTCCCCAAGTGACTCATCCATGAGTAAAAGGCAGAGGATTTCTGAGGATTCTCTTTTTCCTCAGACACTAGGCCCTGGGGCTGGGGCTAAACAAGCATTCTCCGTGCCAGCCAAATGCCAGCTCATTTTTGTCTCTCTTCCTTTGTTTCCTGACCTTGTTCTGTTCTCCAGGAGAGGATAAAGTGACAGAGGAAACAAGTAGAAGTTGAAAGAGGAATGTTGCCCAACGAAGCCACAGGCCTTTGCCTGTAGTCTCATTTAGTTCCTGCGTAGCCTGAAGATAAAAATGACTGCTGAGGATACTCATGGGACCTTGCTGAGGGTTATAAAAGCCAACCAAACACAGGTGGCAGATGGGATAGCAGCCGCAGAATTAAAAAGTATATCCCTTGAGTACCAATTTGATTAAGAGATTTGAAGGGAAGAGACAATTGTTTTCATTTAAGGGGAGGCTGGAAATCTTGCATGAATTCTTAGGATGAAGCAAGTCTTCAAAGTTATTTCATGCCTGTGGCTGTGGCCTCTGGTCATAACTCTACATTTCCCCAGGCTCATGATATTTCTTTTCTGATAGGAAGAATATTTCCATAAACGTTTTTCAGAAGCACCAGGATGAGAGGTGTTCAGAAAGATGTATTCTCTGGATTTGACAATTCTGAAGTCCCTGATGTATTTGGAGGTAACCCTTTCTTCAGGAGAGTGGTTTTACTTATTTTTAAATGTGTGAGTGAATCTTTTCATTAATACGTGTGCAATACATAACAATTACATTCATCTGGAGGAATCGGTACATATGTGTATCCCATCTTGATAGTTTTTAGTTCTGCCCTCCACTCTCCCTCCCTTCCCAGGCCCCCGTCCCTTCTCCACAGTCCTACCTCCC